CTCTTCTGGGGATCCTTTGTGCTTCTTGTATCTGGATGTTTAAACTCCTGGTAAGGCCAGGGGAATTTTTGCTATTTGTTCAGATAGGTTTTCCAAATCTATTGTTTTGTTTTCTTCCTTAGGAACACCTATGATTCTTAGGCTTGGATTTTTACACAATCCCACATTTCTTGGAAACTTTGTTCTGTTTTCTTGCTTCATTTTTCTTTATTGTCTGATTGGGTTAATTTGAAAGCTTTGTCTTCAATTCTGAGATCCTTTCTCTTTCTTGTTCTAGTCTACTATTGAAACTTTCTGCTGCATTTTGGACTTCCCTAAATGGTTCTTTCATTTCCAGAATTCAGGGTTGTTTTTTTTAAGGTATCTATCACTTTGGAGAATTTTTCACTTATGTCCTGAATGGAATACTTTTGAAAATTTCTTTATGTTGATCTTCAGTGTTGACCTGAATCTCATTGAGCAATTTTATAATCAGCTTTTTGAATTCTATCTTTGGAGTTTCAAAGATTTCATTTTGATTAGGGTCCATTGCTGAAGAGTTAATGTGGTCTTTTGGGGGTGTTGAAGAAACCCTGTTTTTTATATTATCAGAATATTTTTCGAGTTCTTTCTCATTAGGATAGACTATTCTTATTTGAGATTGTCAGGAGGCTAATGTAGGAACTGTAGGATTCCCTTGGTTATATATAGCCTGGGGTGGTGGGTTTCTCAATTGCCAGTTGTGGCAGTCTTGGCTCACAGCATCCTGAGTGGCCAGAGAAGCTTAGAAAGTGGTGTAAACTGGGGTCTGGGATCAGGCCCTCACCAAAGCTGAGGTATTATATCAGATGTGATGGGCGAGGAGGTGGCACTTGTGGAAGAGAGCCAGCTGTGATGATGGCTGTGGGCTTTCTGCCTGGCCTGTGTTGCTCCAAGGAAGTGCCCGGCTAACTTAGGGAGAAGGTGGGGTTCTGGAAATTACTCAAGTTCTCTGTTTGTGGTCTTTGATGGGGGTGTGGAGAAAAGGGCTCAAACTCCCCATTTGAGTGCACTTCTGGCTACCCCACTGGGGATTGGAAGGGAGTCCCAGGACACTGGAATAATGTTGTTGTGTTGTAGCTAAACAAGAGTTTATCTTGGGAGTGAAAGGTTGCTATGGCAATAAGTCCCACCCAGCTCCCCTACCTTATCCTCAGGAAACTGTCTTCCACCTTTGACTATGCCCTCTGGGACCCATGTCTACCCAGGCTGGCTAAAAAGCAGCTACCAGCAAGGGTTGAGTTCCTGAGATATGGCAGCTGAAACTACTCAGGGCTTTTATATTCCTGCACCACTCCCCATGGATTTTGGCAGAGCACAACTGTGGGTAAAGCAGTTTCCTGTGAGGAACTGAAGTCCCACAAGGCTCAGGGGGCCCTTCAAGTACATGGCAAGAGCACCAAATCCTGCATTCCCCTCACATACTTTTCCCATTGATTCGGAGGCTTGTTCATGATCCAGACAAGTTCTAACCAGATCCAGTCTGGTTAGTTCCAATCCAAGTCAAATGATTTTTTTTGTGTGTGTGGTTATTATTGCTTCTTTTATGAATCATAGGGTATGCTGCTAGTCCTGTTGCTCTTTGGATGCTGAGGACACTTTATCTTGGTCTACTTCATAAAAGAAATACACTCCAGCTGCCTCTCATCAGCCATCTGGGGCTTCTTTTATAAGGGTACTAATCCCATTCATGAGGACTCTGACCTCATAACCTAATCATCTACTGAAAGGCCCCCATCTCCTAATAATGTCACCTAGGAATTAGGATTTCAACATATGAATCTGAAGGGGCATAAACACTCAGACCATAGAAAGTTGGTAATGCATTGGAAGGGCAGGTTCTTTTCATACATAAACACTCGGTGGTGAGCCTAAGGAAGTAGGGCTTCATACCAGGTTTCCCCACCTCTGCGTATGTTCCTGGTATACCACATATGTGACAAGATAGCAAAGAGCTGAGGGCAGATGAGAAACCACTGAAACTGGAACAACACAGATGTATGGTGCTCAAGTTAGGCTGCAGATGAGAGAACTTTTATGTAGGGAGAGAGGGGGTATGTGCCGGTAATGACAGAAGGAAATTCCCAATGGTATCATATGATAGGAAGGGGACAAAGTCCAAATTAATTAATTTAAGGGAAATAAAGCAAGCAGTATTTCCTGCACCCACAAATTCATGAACTAAGATTTATACCCATGACACTGAGTTTGACCTTGAGCATCTGAAGCTTTGAGAGTAGCTGTGTAGGTAGCATTACCGAGTCAGAAAAACGAGAAAGTACAGGTATGATTCCACTGAAACAAGGTGATCATCCCCTTGGGACGCTGATGGTGCTCTCTGGCAACAAGAAAGAGATGATTATTTATTTTATTTTTTAGTGAAATATTGCTGTCATAGATCCAAAGCTGTGTGTCTGAGTTAAGAGGTTCAGGTTGGAGATCTGAACTTGGATGGGCTCAGCACACCCAAAATAGCCTAAATTGGCATGGGAGACAAGTGGACAAAAAAAGGTTGTCAGTTCCTTAGTTCTATCATCTCACTTTGGGGTCATGGCTTTGAGTAAGGGAACTTGAATTCAAATCACAAATTTTCTGCATGGTACAAATTGGGTACCTCTTGGCTATAGTGACTGTCATTCTTTATTGTGGTGAGAGGAAACAATGAAGAGGCTAAGCAGAGATCACTGTTTAATTACCCTTATTCTAGTAGTTATGCTTTGGGGATTATCTGGGGATGAAATTTATGCTGATTTTTTTACTCTGTCATAAAAAAAATCGATTGTTTTGTCACTCAGAAAAAAATAGAATTTGTGAGGAATAAGCAAACAGTTTCAGTCAGCAGTAAGTTAGGAAACTCTAAACTCTTTATCAAGGATCTTAGCAAGTTCCCAAACAGAAAATAACTAGAATGTTTTTATGGTATTAAGCTAAAAACTAATATCCAAAATATTTTGATTATCAAGTAAATTGCATCCAGTATCAATTTGGTGGCTATATTCAACATATATCAAGAGCTTACTGTGTACCAGGCATAGTTTTAAGTGCTAGGGATACAATCTGGAGCAAAGACCTTGCTCTCATAAAGATGTGTTCTGCTGGGAGAGACAGACAATAAATAAACAGATACATATATCATTTTGTGATAAGCATTAGAAAGAAAATAAAGCAGGTTTACAGGGACAAAGTGATGGGGCAAGGGGACTATTTCTCATAGGAGGGTTAGGAACAGCTCCCCAGCTCCAGGCACTACCAACCTTCCCCATTGCTTTTCCTCAGTTTCTCCAGATGTCACAAGTTCATTTTACCTCAGAATTTTTGCAAATGTTTTCTCTGTCTGAACCCCCTTCTTCTCTTGCCAATTTCTCCCCCCCCCCATTACCTCTTACTATTCTTCAGAACTGAGCCAGAAATCCCTTCCTCAAGGAAGCCTCCTCTGGTCCTTCAGATCATGTTCAGATTCTATCTTAATTATAGCACGGAACTTCTTCATTGTACAGAGCATAATTATAATGACATGTGTGTTGAATAACGCTTTTGTCACCTTCAGACTATAAGGCTCCACGAAAGCAAAGACTATATGTCTTGTTTACTTACTGTTGAATCTTTAAAACCTTGTAGTTTTCAGAATAGGTACCCCCAAAATAATTATTGAATGTCTGAATGATAACTTTTAATATACCAAAATATTCAATTAAGTGTGGAAGGCCCCTTGCCAAGCCTGTTTAGAAAACATTATACTTGATCTTATAGGCTATCTAAATAGTAATTTGGGGTTTTTTATATAGCAAGATTAGTTCACCTAATTTGGCTCATTTGGTTGTGAATATCAATACCAACCTACAATATCACTATCCTCCTTTCATTTCAAAGATACTCTTGGATTGAACGTGTACCGATTGAACTATAATTTAAACCATTTATTTGTAAAAGACTGAGTCATAAGTAGGCAGAATCAACCCATGCTTTTATTTTCATTGCATATAAAAATTTCATATGAAGGTATTGATGTACAGTACTATCCCCATGGGCTGTAAGAGAGGCTAAGAAACTACTAAAAGAATCATTTGTTATGCTCACACACAATTTACCACTCTGAAAACATATCCAAAGAAATAAAATTAAAAACAACTTAAATCATTAAGGTTTTTTTTTTTTTGTAATTATAAGTGTCCCCTTTGTACTGTTTAAAACAAAAGTAATCAAATTCCTTTGGGCCAGGGCTGCTAAAATCTACAGTTTGTGTCAAAAAATAAAATGAAATAATAGGAGGCTCATTTTTCCTAGAAAAAGGATATTTCCTTTCAGTGATAAGTCACATGTTCCAAGGGCTGGGCAGCAGTGGGAGGTTTCCACATTATTCACTATAAATCTTTCATGCTTTCAGGGGCTGGCCATTGTGTGAAGTTAAATTAAACTTTTCTAAAGCAATATAAGTTCTGCAGAAACACATTCTAGAGGATGATGAATTCTTTATGCTATGTAAATTGACATGAGACAATTTTTGTTTAAATAGATAGGCTTCCATATACATATATATGCATATAAATATATACACACATATATGTGGAAATTTGATTTATCTCAGAAAAATTCCAGGGCTAAAAAATGACATGTTTCTTATAGAATATTCTCTCAATACAACATGAAACTATGAACAGATGATAACCAACACTAGAGACTTGTGGCTTCAGTTTCAAGTCAAGTTCATTCTCCTGTGGGCTCTAGAAGCCAAAAAGACTTTTTTTGAGTTGGAGTCTCACTCTGTTGCCCAGGCTGGAGTGCAGTGGCATGCTCACGACCACTGCAGCCTCGACCTGCTGGGCTCAAGCGATCCTTCCGCCTCAGCCTTCCAAGTAGCTGAAACTACAGGCGTGTGCTACTATGCCTGGCTTATTTTTTTATTTATTGTAGAGATAAGGTCTCACCAACTTGGCCAGGCTGGTCTCAAACCCCTGAGCTCAGGCAATCCTCTTGCCTTGGCCTCCCAAAGTGCTGGGATTATAGGCTTGAGCCACTGTGCCCGGCCTAGGCATTTTTTTTTTCATGACTATATAATCACTGGACAAGAACACATTTCCCCAGTAGTGTTTGATAGTTAAAAAGCAAGCAAACAATCAAATGCAAGTAGCTGAAGCAGCTCCTGATCAGCAGTTGCCAAACAATCACATATGCTCCTTGGCAAGAAGTATTTAAGAGCTTAGGTTTCAAAAAGAGTCTCAGAATCTTCCAGAGGTTGTCTGTGGTTTTGTAAAATTCAGCTATTGCCAGAAATCCCATCAGTTGAAAGCCTGGATGTCAAATGCCCAGCCCTAGTTGCACTATTACCTTCCTTTCAAATGCAGCAAAACAGAAGAAAATATTGGTTAAAGTTAAGGCACAGCCCTGGGACCAAAGACCTGCAGCTATGTTTTTTAAATTTATATATCTTTATGTATTTTATAGTTTTCTTGAATCTTCCATAAACAAGCTCTAAGGTGACAAGACTATATTACAGGAGAAAAGAAAAATGTACAAGGAATATGTATACACACCATTCATTCTCTCACCAAGAGTTTCCAAATATATCAACACCATCCCATCGTGGGACGATGTTTTAATAAGAACTGATAATTTACAATTAACATTACAGTATGTACATCGCAATAAATACATGGTTGTAAACAGACAAACAAGACTGTATTACAGGTAAGGTCATTTGGTGAGAAAAAATGCATGGCACAAAAAATAAATAATGCATTCAAAAATTATCATAAAGCTTTCTGTAAAATCCATTTCATTCAAGTTTTTTCTTTCCTTTTCTGCAATTTGTTCTATCTACATTATTATCTTGTGAATTTTAACTGATGCAAAAGAAAACAAAATTAATACAGCATTGTGTCCAGTAACTTGCAAGCTGAAATGCACTGGTTTTATGCAAACTTGGACTTTTTTTTTCCCCATACAGTACCCAGATATTGCATTTTCTTATGGCATTTTAGGATACATAAAGCCACTTGTAAAAGGATGTTCTTTTTTAAAGCAGTGTATATTTCTGAAGCACACTTTGGCGAGAGAGAAGGAGAGAAAGAAAGAGAGGAGGGCAAGGGTACTCAGATTGTACAGTGCATTAGTCCCTGTCTCTTGGATATTTAGCCTTTTCTGTGACTTGATTGTCCATTGGTGGGTATCTTTACAGCATGGTACCATTAAAAACCAACAAACTGGGGGGAAAAGTTTCTCTTAGTGCAGTTATAAATCCTTTCAGGTCTGGATTTGTTAGTGACATATTGCTGTGTTTTAATTTCTTTTTTCATTATTAAGATTCTAGGCACTCTGTGGGGGAAATACCAAGTGTAGGGAGGGAAGGGAATGAGAATGTTCTGGAAAGAGGAATAAACCCTAGACTCCTTGCCTTTCCTTCTAGACCTCCCTCAGGGACAAATAAAGTTAAAAGAAACAAGTTTCCAAATGTTCTTGTGAAACCACTTTGTCAAACATAGGTCTTTATTCAAAGAGTTACTCTCTGTTTGACCTTACAGAGGAAAGAGTTGAAATCTGCTAATTAACTAGTTGATTCCTGTTCTGCCAGGAACTTTTCTATCAGAGGTTCTAAGCATCAGCTGGACTTCAGGGAATTAAAATGGAGCTTGAGCTTGAGTCATTTCCCTGGCCGATGACTTAGTTACTAGTATCTAGAAGCCTCCTTCAGAAGTTCCAAATATAGATGTTTTTCAGGGCTGTGATTTTTCATAATTTTATTTTCCATGTGGCCAGATACCCTCTTTATCCTCTATCTAAATTATTGGATATCAATGTGAAAAATGATTATTTGGGCTCTAAACTCTTCACAAAGAAGATAAATACTTTTTGAAGAACCGATATGGGAATAAAGTCCAAACTAAATGCCCCATGATGCCAACAGGTATCAGGCAAATGCTGAGAATTAATATCTAAGATTGCAGTACAGTTCCTGGTGCTGGAATCAGCCAAGAGTGATCTCTCATTTTTTATTTAGGCAGCATCTTTTTACTAATCCAAAGTTTTATGATGCATTACATCACCAACCCTCTGGTGCCAGTGGTATCAATTTCTCTCCCTCAGTGTGTTTATAGAAGTAGTTCCCCTCTACAAGACATGTCTCTGGATTGACCATAAGTGATAAAGCAATTCCTACATGTTATGTGGCTATCCATTAAGAAGAGTAGTTGCTACACTTAAAATCAATTCTCAGGCATAGTCTTGATATAGTTCTTAATCCTATGGTGAAATCATTAAAACCGAAGAGAATTCATTGTACTGGTGTTTGTTAATATATTCTGTTAATGTTCTTAAAAACTGCCAAGCTGGCCATTAACTTTGCTCTGTAAACCAAGAGTGAAAGCTAATCATGATATACAGCCTCATGGCAGAAATGAATGCTAACCCTAACTTGACTACCTGTTTCTTTTCAGCAATCAGAATGGTGATGATATATTTGATAAGACCCCCATCTAGCAAACATGAACAGAGGTTCAAACACACACTAAATAATAAAGCAGCACGAGGGGAAAATGTTTTTCTTACTATAACTGGTTATAAAAATGATAAAAATGAGCATGAAATGTGTGGATCATTACAAAGACATGCACTTGTGAAATGCACGTCTATCAATACAGCAAAAAGTTATCAGAAGACACTAAGTAGGAAAATATCTAAAAAAGACTGACCATTTTAGCTACTGGGTATTTATATATCTTCCACTTGCTTCAGACACCCCAACTGATGATTGAGTTTCCATGAAGCTTAAGACACATTTGACATAACGCACATCAAAGTATTATAGAACAAATAGTCACTTTGCACACTGTGAAGAAAAACATCAATGGAGAGCAACTCTGCTTATCTGGAAAGAGTGAAACAAAAAGCAAAATAAACAAAGACCTAGAAAAAGGGTTTCCTGCAACATAAAGTTGTTTTTCTGTTTTAAAATATGGAAGTCATTGGTATATAAAACAATGAATCACTACAAATCAGTTAATTGCTATGAACTATAAGGTGCAAGTAAAATTAGTAAATTAGATTTATCCAGTGTAGCACAGATTTGTACTGAAAACTTGCAAGTTACTCCTTAGAAAAAAATAACCAGTGGCAGATGAAGTTCTGAACATAGTTTTTTAAATATAATACCTCAATACATTTAATAATAAAAGTAAGCTCTACAAAAAATCTGTTTTACATATCATACAAAATGTAGAGGTCAGTGCAGCTCACTGAACCACACTATTCAGTCATGTATCAGGAAGACTTGAAATTAGAAAATTATGCAATTTCTATGGCTCATCCCCTTCCTCCTGGTAACAGATTTATACTGTGCCCTGGTCTTGATGCATTTGTTGCTTCATCCATTAAGTTCATTCTGTATAATGCCTTCTGAAAACTTCGCAAACAAACAAAAATAAAAGAAACCCCAAGTCCAATCAACTTTTGGGCTGCCTGATGAGCCACACTCTCTTGAAAACATTCTGGAGTAGATTTTATCTGCCTCATCAGCTCTACCAAGCTGAAATCTCACTGAAATGCTGTTCATGAAGATGTCCACCTTGCTTTGATGACATGGAGGTGAAAAAACTGGTTACAATATTCCTGAGCGCCAGACTAAGTAGTCAAGGTCAGTTTTGTTCAACAAACGTCCTGGCAGATGACAGTGAGGTGTGACCGTGGTTGTGGCATGTGACATGCACTTTGGAAACAATTTTTCTACTTAAAAAAAAAAAAAGGCATGAAAGTCTTTGCACTGTTACGTGTCAGGGGAGCGATCATCTATTATGCAAGTTTCGGGCTGGCTTTCCTCTTCTTCCCCTACTGCCTCTTCTTCAACCTGTTCATCGAGGGGGATTTCGGTAGACTCCGAGTCTTGAGTACAAAGAGTCTTGGAGTCACTGCAGCTAGTGTCTTCTTCCACTTGACTTCCACTGTCCTTTTCTGTGTCTGACTCACCGTCTTCCTCTAAAGTTAGTTCAAACTGGAATTTCTCAGTTTGACCCTGCCGGCCCTCCTCCTGGTCATCAGGTGCAGGAGAGGGGCTCTGAGGGATTGTGCTCTGGTACCATTCACGATTGTCCTCCAAAGTGTCCAAAATGTCCTGGGCATCAGGGTGTACGAGGTCTGCCCATGTCTCCCAGAGAGGATGAACGATATAGTCTATGAAGCCCACCTAGTTAAGAAAAAATTCCAATATGAGTAGAAGACTTGGGACTAAGAAACAATGGAAAAGGCTCACCAGATCATCACCCGCAAATAGAATAGCAAAGACTACTGACCTTAGTTTAGTAAAATAGTCACTATTTTAGACAACAGATCTTATAAAAGTTTTATTAGCTGATCAAAATTGGCTCCTAGAACCCTTAGTTCAAGAGTGTGTTTATAGCATAAAATATTTTCTAGTTTGCATGGTAGGGCTTAGGGCCTGAGCCTTATTTTAGAATTACCAATTTGTAGGTGAATCTAGGTAATTGAAGTAGTGCCATGTATTCTATGTATAGGAATATACTAAATGAATATAGTCACAATGAATATAATGCCATGAGGATGTATATATGACTAAATAAATGTAAGTCAAAAAATTTTCTGTTGGATCACAAACACTAAAGTGAAATGGAGCTTGTCAAAAACAAAGTAATTTCAAAAACCCAGTAAAATACCATCCGATGTGAACCCAAAGTAACCAAATCCTAAAGCAGTAGCTCTTTTCTCTCTGAAAGCTGCGTGCTTCAAACATTACCTGTGATTTTTCCACGGATGCATTGTGCTTGTCACACATGGGACTTATCTCCATGCCGCGCTCCCTCTCTCGGTCTCCTTGGCGGAAGAACTCCTCCATGATCCGGTCTGTCCACTGGCGGTACAGCTGGAGAGGCTTTGTTGGGTTGCTTAGATCTGCACAATGCACCATATTCTGAAGGACCTGAAACAGGTGGATGCATTCTTTGTTTAGCACCTGTTCCTTTTTTAAAAACAAAAAAACTAGAAATTCACATTGGATGACTGTGACACTTAAAAATACATGTAGTGTAAGATTTATTCCAAATAGTTCAACTATGATGTGTCTGTGGTTCACATTTGTATTAATAGTGCCAAATTATGACACTTCTACCACCTCTAAATATTGTGAGGGAAACTTTATGTGCATGGTTGATTAAATTCAGAACTGCTTAAGTGGTTGGTTTTGTGGGGTGTTAGTTTTGTTTAGACATACATGCAAATAAAAAGACCAGTATAATTCTACCTGATTAATTCTCAGAAATAAGAATTTAGATAGAAATCCTGCCTATTATTACTAAAAGAATAAAGTAGGAGAAAGAAGGAATAAATCTTATCAAAGCTGAACACACAGACACATGCGCATGTGTGCAGACATGCACACACACAGCAAACTCAAATAATGCTTTACCTGGATCCTATCAGAATAATTATCAAGCAGAAGAACTCCAGAACTTGTCACTTTCTTAGTTTCAACCATTGTTTTCAAGTCAGCCAGTAGATTCATGTGTTTCGACATGTCTGTTGCAAGTACCTTAAAAGATCAAGAGTTATTGCTTATATCAAATGACCTATTAAATACAGGTATGTCTCCATGTGTATATTATGTATTTATGTATATTTTTACATATATAATAAAACTTCCAAAATTTAAAAAAAAAAAAAAAAAGACCAAGAGTATTAAGTACCAAGGAGAACATCAAAATTTGCACATGAAAATACTATGCAGAATATGGGAAAGAATGGAATAATACTATGCTATGTAATAACAGTGTGTGGAAATTCTTTACTCCTTTTAGGGGCAGAGTCTTTTTCCCCTTTGCTGTCAAAATTTTCTCAAAGCCTAGATAAATGTGTGCAATATGTAGAAACATTAGGCACTGACAATCACTTTCGTGGTAAAAAATAGGACGACAGCTCCATGGATAAGGCATCATCACATGTTTTGAAATTTTTTCCATTCCTTGGACTAGAAAGTGGTAACTGGATTATGATGAACTAATTCAAGCTTGTTCACAGACTGCTTCAGAGACAGAGTATTCTGGTTAATTGTCTGCTCATCCATGACATGTTTTTGATTACCAAAGATTTTCCAGGAAAAAAATACAGAAAAGAGTTAAAGCCATGGACGTTCTTAGTGGCAGTGTTTACTGATTAAAAAAAAAAGGTGAAAAAAAAAATCCACAAAAAAAACACTGGAGCTGTGGCTCACGCTGCTTTTGTTAGTCATCTTTCTCTGCCTGCCACAGAGCAGAGGGACTCAGAAAATAAAACCTGTATGATGAGAGTGAGGTGTCATTATTAAGTCCAAACTGATGGAAGTGGAAAACCTATTATAGATCATCACTGACATCAGTAGGGGCCGTTTCTAAAACATATAGTGTAAGAATAGGTTCCAAAATACACTTCCTTTTACCTAATACTCATCTCAGCTCTTTTTTTTTTTTTTAACAACTTGCATCATAGTTCTCTTACTTACGATGTCAATGACCATTTTCCTTAAAGATTGTCTTTGCTTTTTGGTCAGATTCTGGAAAATGTCACAGTTTTCTTCCTGAAGCAACTTAAAGCCCACAGCTAAATGATGGTTCTCTAAGACCGAGGAATCATTGTACATCAAGGCAAGTTCAGAGTCTGAAAAGAAGAAAAGCGGAAGATCAACAAAGCTGTTTATCACAGGTTAATCTTATTCTTCAAATTCGAAGATAGTTTGAGTTTAATATGCAATTTCCCCTAAACTTCTCTGCTGCCCATTACATGACATCATCCAGGCGAGGCTAACTTAGATAATGTAAGAACAGAAAGAACACTGGAATCTTAGGAGTGAATTCTAATGCTACTGATCCATGGCAGGTCATTTCGCTCATTTGGGCCTCAGCTTCCTCTTTTCTAAGGTGAAAGCATTGGACCAGATGATCTTTTAACCTCTCCTCTAGAGCTGCCATGAGCTCAGCAGAAAATGATATTATTCTTAACATCTGTAACATGTCCAGAGCATAAGGGGTTGTATTCCTGATAACTCTGGATTTCCTGCCCTACAATTTAATGTAAAGATCATGTGATATGGGGTTATTTGCACTCTAAGAGAATACAGGAACAATTTGTAATAAATGAACAACATAAGGTTTGTTTACGCTCTTCTTTTCTTCCACCGTATACCTCAAGTCTAAGCTTTATTCCTTTTTTTCATTTCTTTTTCCAAGTACTGTTGCAGTCAGTATACACTGTGCAGGATTATTGTTCTTCGTGCCTGTTTGCTCATGGCTTCACAGAGATGTTGTGTTTGGCTGTCTACATACCCCTTGGTGAAGATTCTGTCTCACTCTCACTACTGCCCTGGACCTGTGTATTTTAGGCAGGGAGAGTTTGCCTCTTTGCTAGTTCCTATAAATAGCAAACTCAGACCTATAAGGGAGTCATTAAAGAAAAAATTGATTGGTGTTTTATTTTGTTTCCATTTAAGTCATTGTAAAGACTAAAAGCACATGTATTTGATCTTTTTTTTCTGACTAATGCATTCAAAATATATTTAAATATACTTTTCTAAGAAAGAAATACCCAGTACTATGCAATGGCTATTTTAAAGGAGCTAGGAAGAAGAAGCTTGAGACATAGCTCAACTGGGAAACCTTATGATTTTATTAGAACTAAGAAAAAAATCTATAAAAATAGGAATTTGCACATATAAAATTTTGCTCACAAAATACAGGCACGGAGATGTCTAGAGTTTTAGGCAGTGGGTGTATAAGGTATTTTTCTTTTTTCCTTTTTTGATAAAGCTGTAGTGTTTATTTTTTAAAAGGCAGTACTTGGCTAAGTCTTACAGTCTCCAAAAACCTTTCTTAGTTTTTATCTGTAGATGGTTAAGCATATAAAATTCAAAATTTTTAAACTATATAAGATCTTTAGCACATGATATTATTGGGTTTCAGTAATAGAATCATATTAAATAAACACATATTGAAAGGAAGGTATTCTGTTTTCTAACCTGATAAATCATGCCTAATTAATCTATTAGGATTCTTTTTTCTTAAATTTTTTTATTTCAATAGCTTTGGGGGTACAAATAGTTTTTGATTACATGATTGCATTGTATGGTGGCAAAGAAGTCTGGGCTTTAAGTGTACCCTCCATCCCCACCTGTGCACACTGTATCTGTAGGTGATTTTTCATTTCTGCTCCACCCTACTTCTCATAAGTCTTCACTGTTCATGATACCATTCTCTATGCCTTCGCAGTTCCTTAGTTTAGTACTATTTATAAGTAAAAACATGTGGTGTTTGTTTTTCTGTTCAAGTTAGTCCACCTAGGATGATATTCTCCAGTTCCATCCAAGTTGCTACAAAAGACATCATTTCATTTTTGATGGCTGAATAGTATTCTATAGTGTGTATATATATATATATATATACACATTTTCATTATTCACTGATCAGTAGGTGAGTATTTATGATGGGCATTTACGTTGATTCTTTGCAGTGGTGCTGCGATAAACATGCAAGTGTAGGTGTCTTTTTTATATAATGACCTCTGTTCCTTTGGATAGATACCTAGTAGTGGGATTGCTGGATCAAATGGTGGATCTACTCCTAGTTCTTGGAGAAATCTCTATACCAATTTCCATAAAAGTTATACTAATTTACACTCCCACCAATAGTATATAAGCATTATCTTTTCTCTGCATCTGCACCAGCATCTACTGATTTAAAAAAAAAAATTTTAATGGTCATTCTGATTAGTATAAGGTGGTATCTCATTGGGGTTTTGATTTGCATTTCCCTGATAATGAGAGATATTGAACATTTTTTGATATGTTTATTGGCCATTTGTATAACTTCTTTTGAGAGATATGTGTTTATGTCGTTTGTCCACCTTTTAATGGGGTCCTTTGTTTTTCTTGATGATTTGTTTGGGTTCTTTGTAGATTCTTGATTTTAGTCCTTTGTCAGATGTATAGTTTTTAAATACCTTCTCCCATTCTGTAGGTTGCTTATTTGTTCTGTTATTTCTTTTGCTGTGAAGAAGCTTTTTAGTTTGATTAATTCCTACTTGTTTTTGTTGCATTTGCTTTTGGGGTTTTAGCCACAAATTCTTCTCCTAGATCAATGTCCAGGAGAGTTTTTCATAGGTTTTCTTCTAGGACTTTTGTGGTTTCAGGTCTGACGGTTACGTCTTTAATCCACCTTGAGTTAATTTTTGTAAATGGGGAGAGAGAGAGATCAAGTTTTATTTTTCTTCATGTAGCCATCCAATTTTCCCAGTATCATTTGTTAAATACCATGTCCATTCCCAGTGTATGTTTGTGTCTGCTTTTTCAGAGATAAGTTGGAAGTAGGTATTTGGGTTTATTTCTGGATTCTCTATTCTATTCCACTGGTCCATGTGTCTGCTCTGGTACCAGTGCCATGCAGTTTTGGTTACTACAGCCTTGTGGTATAATTTGAAGTCAGGTAATGTGATACCTCCAGCTTAGTTCTTTTTGCTTAGGATTGCTTTGGCTATTCAGGTTCTTGGTTCCATATGAATTTTAGAATTGTTTTTTCTCATTCTGTGAAAAATGATGTTGGTTGTTTGATAGGAATTGCACTGAATCTGTAGATCACTTTGAGTACTATGGTCATTTTAACAATGCTGGTTCTTCCAATTCATGAGCATGTGATATTTCTCCATTTGTGTCCTCTACAATTCCTTTTATCAGTGTTTTGTAGTTATCCTTGTAGAGGTCTTTGGCTAAGTATATTTCTAGGTGTTTTATCTTTTTGCTGGTGTTGTAAATGGAATCGAGTCATTGGTCTGATTCTCAGCTCAGCTGCTATTGGTGTACAGCAGTACTGATTTGTGTGTGTTGATTTTGCATCCTGAAACTTTACCAAATTCATTTATCAAGTCCAGGAGTCTTTTGGAGGAATCTTTAGGACTTCTAGGTATAAGATCATATTGTTGGCATACAGAGATAGTTTGGTTTCTTCTTTTTCCAATTTGAATATCCTTTATTTCTTTCTTTCTCTTGCCTGATTGTTCTGGCTAGGACTTCCAGTACTATGTTGAATAGAAGTGGTGAAAGTAAGCATCCTTGCCTTGTTCCAGTTCTGAGGGAATGTGTTCAACTTTTCTCTGTTCAGGATGACATTGGCTATGGATGTGTCATATATGGCTTTAATTATTTTGAGGAACGTTCCTTCTGTGCCTATTTTGCTGGGGTATTTATTGTGAAGGGATGCTGAATTTCATCAGATGCTTTTCTGCATCAATTAAAATGATCGTATGATTTTTGTTTTGAAATTTGTTTGCTTGGTGTACCATGTTTATTGACTTATGTATGCTGAACCACCTTGCATCCCTGTGATAAAACCCACTTGATTGTGGTGGATTTCTTTTTTATGTGCCGTTGAATTTAGCTTGCTAATATTTTCTTGAGGATTTTCATGTCTGTGTTCATCAGATATTGGTCTGCAATTTTAAACAAAATTATTTTAATGATGTGGGGTGCAATTCAGGGTTAGGTATACAAATGTTCATTGTACAAGTAAAGTTTGGGCCTCACTTTGGTCCCTACATTACCTGGTTTGAGATCAGGTACCCTTATTGATGAAGTGTGCCCCCTCCCAACCTCAGCAGTTTTCCACTACAGCCAATCCCTTTTTTATAGTATTATGATAATTGTTCAGGGTCCGCTTATGAGTGAGAACATGTGAACATGTGGTACTCCGCAGTTTTCTTTTTTTGTTGTCTTTTCCTGGCTTTGGCATCGGGGTGATACTGGCTTCATAAAAAGAGTTAGGGAGAATTCCTCCCTCTTTAGTCTTATGGAATAGCTTCAGTAAAATTGGTGCCAGTTCTTCTCTGAAAGAATTTGGCTAGCCGGGTTCGGTGGCTCAGCCTGTAATCCCGCGCCTTTGGGAGGCTGAGGTGAGTGGATTGCCTGAGCCCGTGGGTTCGAGACCTGCCTGGGCAACTTGGTGAGACCTCATCTCTACAATAAATCAAAAATTAGCCGGGTGTGGTAGCGCACGCCTATAGTTCCAGCTACTTGGAAGGCTGAGGTGGAAGGATCGCTGGAGCCCGGCAGGTTGAGGCTGCGGTGGCCAGGAGCGGCCACTCTAGTCTGGGCGACAGAATGAGACTCCAACTCAAGGAAAAAAAACAAAAAGAATTCGGCTGTAAGTCTATCAGGTACTGAATATTCTTTTGTTGAGAGACATTTAGTTACTGTTTCAATCTTGCCACTCATCATTGGTCTGTTTAAGGTTTCTATTTCTTCCTGATTCAAGGTTGGGGGGTTGTATATTTCTAAGAATTTATGCATTTCCTCTTAGATTGTCTAGTTTGCATCAAGGTGTTCATAAGAGTTTCGAATGATCTTTTGAATTTCCATTGTATCAGGTGTTGTCTCCATTTTCAGTTCTGATTGTGATAATTTGAGTCTTCTCTCTTATTTTCTTAGTTAATCTAGGTAGTTGTCCATTAATTTTGTTTATCTTTTCAAAGAAGCGACTTTTTGTTTCATTGATCCTTTGTACATATTTTTAAAATTTCATTTAGTTCTGCTCTGAGTTTTGTTATTTCTCTTCTTCCTCTAGCTTTGGGTTTGGTGTTTTTCTAGTTCTCGGAAGTGTGACGTTAGGTTGTCAATC